TGCCTGTTCCTCATCTTTGCCCCAGCTTTTGACTATCTTCTCACCATGCTCTTTAGCTTGGTCTGCCCTCATCTTCTTCCATCCATACCCTGACACACATACACACTAGGTTCTCACTGTGTTCCTTCTTGATACTGCTGTCTAGGTAATTCTTCTTTTTCAGGCCAGACACCAACTTGCTTGTACTTTGTTCCAGTGTACCGTAATCCTAACCTATCTACTCTCATCCTGCTTATGCCGTCCTGGTACTGAGGATCATGACGGTGTCTAAAAGGCAGGGATGTCCTCTGCATGTAAATAGAGGTGTAGCTGATTGAGCTATTACTTGCCCCATCTCTTTTCTACTGTTTACTGTTGAATAGGCCATCTTCCAGGCATTATATCTCTGTCAGCTCCCTGAGCTGTGACAATAGCCCATGCCACCTTCAGTAACAATTCAGGCTAAACTAGCTAATTTTGTACCAAAGCAGACTATTTATCAAACACATATAAATATATGTTTCTTTTCCGGGTTAAGTAAAGGTGGCTGGTCCACCTATGTCAAAATCCTTAGGTTTTGACTCAGTAAAGGTTTAGGCCAATTGAGAGGGTCGAATTTCAATTGGCAGACGCTGCTTGTAATGTCGCGAGATTCCCATCCTACTATCCAACTTGAGACATGAGTGTGTATTACAATCAAGTTGGAAGTTACATAAAGTGCTTAAAGATAGAGGTGATTTTAACAGAACCAAATAGAGGTGATTTAAGCAGAACCGAAGGTGCGATTGTTAACTATTTACAGATTTTGAGCGAGATTTACTCACAAAGATATGAAGTCTGTCTACTGAGGAGAATAGGGCCATATTACATAATCTCCTCGCAATTCTCTTTTGTCTGGATTTGGAAATGCCCATGTCTGCGAGCAGTGAATAGTTGCCTTCGTACCATTTTCCACAAGAAGCCAGGGGAAAGCCCATAAATTTAATTTTGGATGCCTTTGTTAATTCTTGAATTTGGTCTTTTAAGTGTTTATACTTATTTACTTTTTCTGATGCAGCTTCCTGCAACGTTTCAATTTTGCTTTCATATCTGATTGTTACATCTACCACCACTGCTGTGTCATCTTTTAGAAATATTAAATCTGGTTTATACAATTCATTTTGGCTATCTCTGATCAATGGTTCCTGGTAAACATTCTAATCTTTCTTTTTACCCTCCTCAATTAATACATTACAAATTTTATTGTGCCTTTTAATTCTGGCATCTTGTACAATAGGACATAGGCCAATTATGTGGGCGCAGGTTTCATTTTCGGCATGACAATGATGGCAAGATTTATTATATGTCGATTGCCTGCCTCTCGCTAGGAATTCTTGGGTAGGGTATACATTTGCTCTTAATTGGAGGGCAGTGATTAGCTTTCTGTGAGGAATGCCCCTGTAATGTTCAGTCCAAGAGTTACTAATATTGTCCTTCTCAAAGTTTTCTATGCCTCGGCCCTGGGATAGCAGTTTGGTCCAATTTCTGAATTCCTGATTACACCAATTGCAGGGTTTTGGAAAGACTCTCCTTGGTGTGGGTCTCTCCCATTCTGAGTCCTCCTCACGAATTAACCCCTTAGCAACCGTTATAACTGTTCCGGAGTCCCATACGGACGGGACCTTTTCCTTATCTCCATCTGCTGCAATCCACAGGTTTTTAAACTCTTTCTCAATGTTCTCGTTACTATTTCCCGGATGGTCTCATCGGAGGACTGTGCGATTCTATGGATTCTTCTTGCTTGTACGCTGGGGATTAGGCCGGCGAGGCGAGTTAGACCTAATCCTCCATCTTTTGTACTGGAGTAGAGCACAGCATCAGCTGTACTTGGGGGAAGGTGTAACCATCTTTTAACTGTGTTCCTAATTGTTAAGTTTAATGACTCCAGGTATGTAGGTTTAGTATCTGAGTGGTCTGCCAGGTAGATGATTCTTGGAATAGTGTAAATTCTTAGTATGTTGATCTTTTGGAATGGTTTTAATGGGGACGTTTCTATTCTCTGCAGCCAGTCTGTCATTTTGTCAAGTAACTTTGGTTTTGTTATACCGACCCAGGGGTCAATGAACAGTCCTAAGTATTTCTCAGTGTTGTTTGGGTGAATCATATTGAGGGGAGTGCCTTTGATAGTCCATGGGGGACAGTCATTGATGGTATATGAGTCTTTTGTCAGCCGGATGTAAAAGCCGTGACACTTTTCCCCTTGTGTTTTGAGGCCTGTTAGGTCACAGAATATTCTAACTATGTCCAGGTTCTTTTGCATTCCCTCCCAAGAGCTACTTAATAGCACTAGATCATCGGTGAAGGTCATAATTATTTTAGGTTGTCATGCTCATACAACCTCGTAACACAGGTTGGTTACAAAGACATGAGAAGGTCCATAATGAATAGCTGGTAGGCAGAAAAATCTTAATCCACTGTGAGCTACTTCCAAGGGGATTCTATATCTATATCATTGCATATGTATTATAGATAGTCATAGAGACTAAGGGCAGATCTACAGAGTGTTTTCAAGGGAAGCAAAGCTCCAAACTATTTCTTAAATCTCAACCTGTGTGGCTTCCTTAGAGACACTCAGGTCATCTGTGATTGAGCAGGAAATTAAATAAAGCTTCCCAGGTAACAAGTCTAAATTGCACTTTTTTTTTTTTTCAAAATTGGAAGCCACGTTAGAAAAACAGTTTGCAAGTAAGCACAGTATAGCAGCGGAATAGGAAAGTTTCAGTTTATTTCAAAGTATAGAAACTTCTGTGAAGTGCAGATGTTACAGATTAACACTTTCATGGGAGACACATTCATTGCATCCTTTATGTCTGACTCTAACTCAGTTTGAGAGATAAAATTACTTTGACATCTGAGGAGGACACAGTGTTCTTTCTGAACATAGATCAGGTTGTCTGTGACATGTAAATTAAACTAATATGAGCATTTAAAATAAATAAATAAATAAATATGATCAAAAAGAAGATGCAGAAAACTTTTCATGCTTATGTGCTATCCTAGTGCTATCTAGTTCTAATTACAGTCTCTTTGGATGCACAGTGGCAGTATTTTAATTTTGTTTTGCTGAAACCCTTAAGCGCATGCTTAGGTATGGCTGTATTCAAAACAGCATAAAATATCTAGACCACAATCCTTTCCCCTAGTGCTGGATGTAATTTCTATTCATTGATTCTGCCAGCCCTGTTTGGTCTAGTTTTTGGAAGATCCTTACAGACATAATCACATAGCTCACCATTAGTACTAGTACACTGTTTTTCCCCTTGTCTGCTTAAATGTGTGCCACAGATTTCCTGTACTTCTAATGAAATATTTCTAAACTGACTTCACACTGTTTCTATGAATTACAGTTTTTCTGTTTTTCCTTTCAGTCTGTTCCTAGCTAATTTTATTTTTTAAAGAAAAATATTTCTGTACTCTGAAATTTTGTGTTGGAGACAGCTGTCCTAAGCTCTGTAAGGAAGCAGAAGAAGACATGTCGGCGAAATGGACTCAGATCCCACTTTCTTCCAACAGGACATTCCTTTAATGGCCCTCAGACTCTAGAAACCTCTGCAGTGCGATGCATTGTTCACCTCTGTGCACCACTTCTCCTTTTCATGGCAGACTGGTTTGCTTCTCATCTTTAGCTTCTGTGTTAACATGTCTCTTCTCATTGTCAAGTTCTGTCTCATGCATGTGAGCTTTGCCATTTGGTCCTACCCATGTTTTCTTTCACTCTATTGTAACATTCAGTAGCTGCACAGATATTGTGGACTCAGATGCTCACATATGTATTTGTACAGCATTCTCCCTTTGTCTTATCATGCAAATTCCTTCATGTTCATCAGTTACATATTATCGCTTGTCTGCACAAAGCTAGTATTTGTATACACAGAAGCCACATGTAGTAAGTTTGTATTTGCCAAAGAGCTTTTATACTTTCACTAATCTGGTCTCCCAAGGAACAGAGTGCAAGAAGTGGCAATGTGAGAAGCTTTGTTTATAAGAGGTCTTATAACTTTTCCATTCACAGTTTAGTGGTCCCATCACTGGGAAAGGGTCCTTGACTCAGAATGCCATGCATACAGAGAAGCATCTGGTTTTGTGATACTTAATGGAGGAGAGGATAGAGCATGGGGAAATTCCAGAACTTGGTGAGACACAGGTGACTTGAGTAGATTGGGACCTCCCAGATGATCCAGAAAAAAAGAAATATCTGTATCCTGTTCTTCCAAGCCTTGATGCTGTGGTTGTTTTATGAGTATTTGGCTTCTGGTTTCTGAAGCACTGTGATTTCTGTGACTTTATTTTTCTTTTCCTTTCTGTCTCACTTACAGGGGAGCTACAAAAGCTCCCACAGGACATTCCAGATGTTCTGAAACATAAATGCAGAGGGATGTACAACATTCAACATTTAATAAGGATTTGTTTTGCCTTCTAATTTCTGTTTACAAAAGCAAAACCAACTTAAAACAAGGCTGCCATCATCGTTATTCTCTACTTTTCCTGAGGCGCATGCTGTGTGAATGGGAAAAATGAAACCTCATAGTATTACACTGGCTACTTTCTTTATCTCTTCTAGTCTTCATCCATATTTAGGGTTTGAACAGACAGAGGTGATAAATCAAGTGGAATGATCCTACCAGCAACTTTACCCTCGATATCCATCTTAGGTGGCAAGGAGAGAGAGAGAGTTCATGGAGAAAGCACCAGTGATCATGCAGATTTCAACAATAGACTCCTTATTCTGTTTGGCAGAAGTATCTTCCATGCAGAGTTGATACAACGTGCCATTGTACGCCTCTCAACCCCTGCCAGCACATGAAGACCATGTCAGCCATGATTGAGCAAGGCATAAAATGCCTTCCATTCAAAGCATCCAAGGAATCCTGGCAACTGCAGAGAGAACGTTTTACTCTGCCTTCCATTTGTTCTCTTGACAGCCTGAGTAGTGCATGGTTGTGTTCATGGAGCTCAAGGAGTCTGACCGACTCCTGCTAAAAGGCATATCAGAGAACAAAAGAGGTCATGGCCTCAGTCTCTCCATGAAAAGGAGAGCTCCACTCATGTTTGCAACAACCTCGTAATATGAAAGATCAACCTAAGGTAGGGAGTGTTTCTCACCAGGCGTAGACAGAGATGCATATGCAATCTGAAAATGTTTAATTACTATTGGCAGGTTTAAGACCCTTCTTTGGGCTTTAAAATAGCTTCTCAGGATAAAACCATGAGAAGGTATGCATCAGGTTTGTGTTCTGTGCTCTCCTCTTTGGATGAAGAGGACATGGACCATCTAAGGTACACACTTGTGATTTCTTTAACATCCTGCTGCTGCTGCACCTATCCTCTTCTTTTGCTTTCTACATCTGCAAACAGGCAAGTTTGGGAGGTGAACACCACTTTATACAATACCAAAGATAAGTTCTGTGAATGTGTGGGAATGTTGCTCACTTACAGGAGACAAACTCCACAAGAAAATAAGTATGGAAGGCCAGCAGATATTGTCGGTCCTAAATGCTCTTTGAACATCATGCAGCTAAATTTTGGGATTGAAATAAGGTGGGACTTTCTTTCATTTGCCTGACACAGAGAAATGATTACGTGTTTTGAGATTTATTTACTTATAGAAAACTGCTTAGCAACTTATTTGCTTACTTATAGCAAGTATTAGTATTTTTAAAAATATTGCTAAGAATCCTGCTTGCCCAGACTGTGCTGTGGAAATTTACCAAGGACTACTGTGTTCATCAAAACAAAGCAGTTCACTGTGAAAATCTACCAAGGATTACAATGTTCAGCAAAATATTATACTTTTGCCCTTGAGTAACAGGTGGCTCTAACTAGTTGGAATTTTGCTAATGAGTAAAGATAGCCATGTATGAATGGTGGAAGTTCTATTGGTTCTCTTAGATAAGACAGAAAGTAAACTGTCTGAAAATCATTTTTATTATTTAAGAAATTGGCCAAGAGAATCTGCACATGCTCCGGGGAAAAAAAAAACAAGGTGAGAAAGACTACATGCCTTCCTCCCAAAGCCCCCCGAAGATGCCCACCTGGAGGCAATGCACAGGTGCAAAGTTAACATAAACTGTTGACATCAGCCTTTCGAACTAACCCAGCCTTACTCATGCATATGTAAGATTGTGTTATGTAACCCAATGAATATGGATATCCACACTGTATAAGTTTTCAGTAAAATGTGTGGTGGGTGTGCAAGCTTTGTGGAGAAATCCCCTTGCACCCCGGCGCTGGAGTAAACATACCTGCTGTATAACTCTATTCGAGTTGTAGAGCCTTTCTCTGTGAATCATGCCTTTCTGGCATTTAGATATCATAAGCAACATTTTTTTTTTTTCATGTCCTGGTTCAGCTAGGATAGAGTCAAGTTTTTCCCCAGCAGAGAGAGAGGGGGGAGGGATCTCTAGCCAGGTTATTCATACCACGCTGACTTCAGGTCCAGGGGTGGAGACTTTTTACTTTCACTTCTGGTTTTGGGTTTTGCCATACACGTGGTGGGCTTGCTCCTTGACCATTTAGCGGTATTTCTCTGCATATTGTTTGTCTTGATCCCTGTAATTGCTGTTTAATCTTGTTATCATTGCTATTGTTGTTGTTCAGATTATTCTATCACTATCTTGTATTTTGTTATTTTAGCCGGGGTTTGTGACTAACTTCCAGCCCGACCGCGGGGGTGGGGGAGGGGCAATGGCAATGTGCTCTCCGGTCTCGGCAAGGCTTAAACCTGCACATTTATTAATTGGTGCACCAACGTGGGGCTCGGAATAAGAATAAAAAGGGACAGACCCTGACCAGAGTGTGATAGAGCAATCTGTTGGGTGTAATTATTTTTTGTGTATTTGTTTGATAAGAAAAAGTTTGTGATGCCGGACCACATGTTTGTGTGGTGCATCTGGATTACTCCTTATATCCAGTTTATGATCCATGTGGTGGCTTTTGTTATGGGTGGAAAATGTGTAAAGGTTCTTATGTTGTTATACGGGATATTGAAGGTGTATGCTGCCTTTGTATCGCAGTGCATTGGGGCGGGACAGTACCTGTTTGCCATTTGGGCTTTTGTTATGGGTCTCACCCCATCTGTGGGTGAGCCAGGGGAAGAGATCCTTTGGCTTTGTGGACGTTCAGCCCTCCCTGGAGCCTGCAAGCCAGCGTGATTGTGGAACTACGCCTTCTGAAAGTCTGCCTGATTTCGGTTTTGGCCATATGGTATTTCTCTGAAAATAGCAGTGCCCGGAAACCTGCCCGGAGGTCAGATATTAGTGAGTGGCAAGGGGTGTGGGAAAAGATGGAGGCCTGAGTCGATGGGCACCCCCAATGCTTTGGAACTTCACTCCTGAGCGAATGCAAAGCCCTGAGAAGCTGATGGAGTGCTTAGAAAGGATGTGCTACCAAGCTGGCAAAACCCAGGAGACACAAATAGCTGCAATGTGTTGGGGACTTGCCCATTCATACCGTGTCCTCTTTAACATCACCCGCTGACCTCAAAGGGAAGAAAAGGCCACAAAAACAATATCTGAACCGGAGGGACAGACAGAGCCAGTCTCAGTCGCCTCCTCCAGCACAGAGACTGAGCCAGAGAGCCAGGCAGTGCCAGTGTCAGTCGCCCTGATACAGAAAACCAAATATAGCAGAAAGTCAGCTTGCAGAGTGAGGGATGAGGATGAGCCAGGCCCATCAGGGGAACAGGAGGAAGGGCCAGAAGTGATTGTCTGATCTCTGTCCCTGACTGAGCTGCGAGATATGTGGAGAGATTTCGGCCGCCTGGGAGGCGAGCAGATTTGCACCTGGCTGCTCCGATGCTGGGACAATGGAGCCAGTGCTTTTGAGATGGAGGGGAGAGAGGCCAAAGAGCTGGGATCTTTGGCCAAGGATGCTGGCATTGATAGGGAAATAGGGAAACAGACTCAAACCCTCAGTCTTTGGAAGCGACTCCTGTTCAGTGTAAGGAAGAGGTACCCCTACAAGGATGATATCCTATGTCAGCTGGGCAAATGGACCAGCATTGAGAAAGGCATCCAGAACCTCAGGGAACTGGTTGTGTTTGCGATGATCTATGGTGATATGAATAATGAGCAGTCACCCATGGACCCAAAGTTCCCGAAGAGCGCAACAGAAGCGCAATCAAAAGCATTGTCAATAGTGTCCTGGTGGACAGACACCCACACTCTAACAGTGGATGGAGTGGTTGGCAAGCTCCAGCAATATGAGGGAAATCTCCTTTCATCGCAGCATTCCTGGGTCTCAGCTGTGGAGGAACTGTCACAGAGGCTCCAGAAAGAGTAAGAGGACATGCCCTACGTTCCACCTTCATGGGCTGATGTCTCAGCCATTAGAAGTAAATGTTTCCCCACCCAAGAGAAAGGCAGCAGAAGGTACACAACACGAGGCACCCTGTGAATTTTCCTCCGTGACCACTGAGAGAACATAGGAGGTGGGATGGACAGCCCACTGCTGCCCTAGCTGCACAAGTAGAGCATCTGAAAGGGAAGACCATCAAAAAAGGGGAGTCCTCCAAGAAGAGTGCAGCTCCAGTGTCCAGTTAGAAATCTCCCAGGCAGAATAGAAAAGTGAATGTTATGTCTGACCCTCTTGAGGGGACCAGTAAATCATGCTTACAAGAAGTGAGTGATGCTGAGCAGGATTAGAGGGGCCCTGCCTCCAGCCAGGTAGAGGAAAGGGACAATCGGATTTACTGGACAGTGTGGAACCGATGGCCTGGCACGTCAGACCCACAAGACTATAAGGCTTTGGTGAACACTGGCGCACAGTGCACCCTGATGCCATCGAGCTACAGTGGGGTTGAATCCATCTGCATCTCCAGAGTGACAGGGGGATCCCAACAGCTGACCCTATTGGAAGCTGAAGTGAGCCTGACTGGGAAGGACTGGCATAAGCACCCCACTGTGACTGGCCCAGATGCCCCGTGCATCCTGGGCATAGACTGTCTCAGGAGAGGGTACTTCAAAGACCTAAAAGTGTACCGGTGGGCTTTTGGTGTAGCTGCCCTGGAGGAGGTTGAACAGTTGTCCACTTTACCCGGCCTCTCAGAGGATCCCTCAGTGGTGGGGCGGCTTATGGTGAGGAGCAGCGAGTGCCCATTGCTACCAGGACAGTGCACCGGCGGCAGTAACGCAGAAACCAAGATTCCCTGGTCCTCATCCATCAGCTGATCCGTCAACTAGAAAGCCAGGAGGTGATCAGCAAAACTCACTCACCCCTCAACAGTCCTATATGGCCAGTGAGAAAGCCTAATGGTGAATGGAGGCTAACTGTGGACTACCATGGCCTGAATGAAGTTACGCCAGCAATGAGTGCTGCAGTGCCGGACATGCTAGAGCTCCAGTATGAACTGGAGTCAAAGGCAGACAAGTGGTACGCCATGATTGACATTGCTAAGGCGTTCTTCTCCATTCTGATAGCGCCAGAGTGCAGGCCACAGTTTGCGTTCACTTGGGGAGGCATCCAGTACATCTGGAATCGATTGCCCCACGGGTGGAACTACAGTTCCACCATTTGCCATGGACTGGTCCATACTGCACTGGAGAGAGGTGGGGCTACAGAACACCTGCAGTACATTGATGACATCATTGTATGGGGGGACACAGCCGAGGAAGTCTTTGAGAAAGGGAAGAAGATAGCTGAAATCCTCCTGAGGGCCGGCTTTGCCATTAAGCAAAAGAAAGTTACGGGTCCTGCAAGAGAAATTCCATTCCTAGGGATAAAATGGCAAGATGGGCGTCGCCACATCCCAGTGGAGGTGATAAACAAGATAACAGCCATGGCCCCACCAACCTCTAGACAGAACACTCAGTCTTTCCTGGGTACTATGGGGTTCTGGAGGATGCACATCCTGAACTACAGCCTGTTTGTGAGCCCTCTCTACCATGTAACCCGTAAGAAGAACGATTTTGAATGGGGCCCTGAGCAACAACAATCCTTTGAAGAAATTAAACGGGAGATTGCCCAAGCAGTAGCCCTTGAGCCAGTCCAGGAAGGTCAGGAGGTTAAGAACATGCTCTACACCGCAGCCAGGGAGAATGGTCCTACCTGGAGTCCCTGGCAGAGAGCACCTGGGGAGATCCGAGGCCGACCTCTAGGCTTTTGGAGTGGGGGATGCAAAGGCTCTGAAGCTAATTACACACCAACTGAGAAGGAGATACTGACAGTGTATGAAGGAGTTCGGGCTGCCTCAGAAGTGGTCGGCACTGAAACACAGCTCCTCCTGGCACCCCGACTGCCAGTGCTGGGGTGGATGTTCAAAGGTAAGGCCTCCTCTACGCATCATGCAACCGATGCCCCGTGGAGTAAATGGGTTGCAATAATAAAACAATGGGCTCGAATAGGGAACCCCAGCCGCCCAGGGATACTAGAGGTGATTATGAACTGGCCAGAGAGCAAAGAATCCAGGATGTCACCAGAGCAGGAGGTGACACGTGCTAAGGAGGCCCCAACATATAACGAGCTGCCGGATGAGGAGGAGCAATATGCCCTGTTCACTGATGTTTCTTGTCATATTGTGGGAAAACATTGACGGTGGAAGAGTGTTGTATGGAGTCCCAGATGACGGGTCACTGAGGATGCTGAGGGACAGGGTGAATTGAGCCAATTTGCAGAGGTGAAAGCCGTTCAGCTTGATTTGGACATTGCTGAGCGGGAAAAGTGTCCACGGCTCTAGCTCTACACTGACTCGTGGGCATTAGCGAATACCCCGTGGAAATGGCTGCAGCAATGGAAGCAGAACAACTGGCAACGTAAGGGTAAAACCATCTGGGCTGCTGAAGTATGGCAGGATAGTGCACCCCGTGTGGAAAACCTCGTTGTGAAGGTGTGCCATATGGATGCCCAAGTACCTAGGAGTCTGGCCACTGATGAACATTGACACAATCAGCAGGCAGACCAAGCTGCTAAGATCAGAATAGCTCAGGTGGACTTGGACTGGCAGCGCAAATGTGAACTGTTCATAGCCCATTGGGTCCACGAAACATTGGGCCACCAAGGTTGGAATGCAACATACAGGTGGGATCAAGATCGAGGGGTGGACTTCACCATTGACACCATTGCAGAGATCATCCATGGATGTGAGACATGTGTTACAATCAAACATGCCAAGTGGGTGAAGTCCCAGTGAAATGTAGAGCGATGTCTGAAATATAGATATGGAGAAGCCTGGCAGATCGAATACATCACACTGCCACAGACCTGCCACAGGAAGCGCCACGTGCTCACAATGGTGAAAGTATCCATTGGGTGGCTGGAAGCTTACCCAGTGCCCCACGCCACCGCCCGAAACACCATTCTGGGCCTTGAGACCCAAGTCCTGTGGCGACACGGCACCCCGGAGAGAATTGAGTCAGACAATGGGACCCACTTCCGAAACAACCTCATAAATGCCTGGGCAGAAGAACACGGCATCGAGTGGGTCTACCATATCCCCTACGACGCACCAGACTCTGGGAAGATCGAGCGCTACAATGGACTGTTAAAAACCAGATTGAAAGCACTGTGAGGTGGGACCTTCAAAGACTGGGACACGTATCTAGCAAAGGCCACCTGGCTAGTCAACACCAGAGGATCTGCCAATCGAGCTGGCCCGGCTCAGTCAAAACCTCCACGTGCTGTAGATGGGGTTAAAGTCCCTGTGGTGCGCGTGAGGAATATATTGGGAAAAATTGTCTGTTTTAGTCCTGTGCCAGGCAAAGGTAAAGGCAAACCCATCCATGGGATTGGTTTTGCCCAAGGGCCTGGGTGCACCTCTCAGTGATGCAGGACAATGGAGAGGTCCGATGCGAACCACAGGAGGACTTGATTCTGGGTGAGAACATGCCGTAAATTATGCTGTGCCTTTGTAAATTGTTGTTTTGTTATTGTTAACTGCTAAATGGCAGCTGGACATGACACAGATGGTATAGAATAAAGGGGTGGATTATGTCCTGGTTCAGCTAGGATAGAGACAAGTTTTTCCCCAGCAGAGAGCGAGGGGCAAGGGATCTTCAGCTGGGTTCTTCATACCATGCTGGCTCAGGTCCAGGGGCGGAACCTTTTCACCTGGGTCTTTGGGCTTGGTGGCGGAAACCTTTCTTTCTGTAAACCAGCTAGCGGTATTTCTCTGTATATCGTTTGTCTTGTTCACTGTTATTGCTGTTTATTGTTGTTACCATTGATACTGTTGTTGTTCAGATTGTTCTATCACTCCGTTGTATTAAATTTCTTGTTATTTTAGCCGAGGTCTGTGTCTAACTTCCAGCCTGACCAACGCAGGTGGGGGAGAGGCAACGGCAACGTGCTCTCAGTTCCCGGCAGGACTTCAACCTGCACACTTCACTTGTTTGATAGCTAGCTAAGATGACAAGAAACCAGAATGTGAGCCTTTTATAAAATTTTGACACTGGGTAGTGCAATATTCAGCCTTAATCTCAATCTTTTGACTGGAAACAAGGTGGGTTTTATGTTTAAAAATAAAACAAACCAAAACAAAAAAAAAAAAAACAAACAAAAAACAAAAAAAACCCCAACAGATTCTGGGAGAAATGTGTCTGATAGGAGAATTAGAAGCAAGGAACCTCAGGATAGCCATCAGCTCTGAAGAATTTAGTTCTTGTTCCAGGTTAGCTCAGACAAAATCTGTGTGAGGATTTGTCCTAATTCCAATTACTCCACATCATATATCAGTATATCTGTCAAGTCCTAAAAAGATATAAGCAGATATTTTAGGAGGCTGAGCATCCCCCATTTCTGTTCAGTTAAATGTCAGCTGAGCATACCTGGTACTTTGCAAGAATTTGTTCCCTGGAGAAAATTAAGGGTGACTCTGAGAGAAGTAGAGGGCGGAATGGAGAGACACAAGCAGTTGAATCTCTTAAATGTTCCTGAGCATCATTAAAAGTAAGGGTGCCTGAGGAATGTAAATGTAAAAGACATCTAGGTCAAAATTTCAAGTGTGATTTTGCAGAGGTAAAAGCCAGTTTCTTGTTGCAGCATCTCTAGCTCCATTATTTGGATGGAGTTGGAGACAGAAGAATTTGAAAAATATTTAGAACATCCCAAAGACATTTTAACATCCATTCATTTAGATGTTTTAGTTTTGCCCTGAGTGGACGAGGGCAGAATAACTCCTACTTGAAATTTGCTCACTGGAAAAGTAAAATCATTGCTTTTGCAAAAGAGGATAACTTTGAACACGTTCTGGCCAAGTTCATACAAAGGTCCTGAACTCTTCTCTGTGAAGAGATCTCCAGTAGCAGACATCATTTTGTACTGCATGCTCCCATTTCATCCGAATTAACTTAAACTGGCATTCTGTCTCAAAAGCTGAAAAATATTAAACCTGACCCTCTGCTTGTTTGTTCTCAGTTCAGAATGTCTACAGCTACCCCTTTTGTGATTTTCCTGTTGCTGCTCGGTTTCCACTTAGATTGCTTAGATGTCTTTTCCCACTATTCTCAAAATCTATGCTGGCCTGCAAATGTCTCCTGCATTGTGACTCATGTGCCTCTTTCATCAGAAAGCAAACTAATGGTCTCCTTTGACACATGCTGGATGTGTTCTGCACAGCTCCAGGGTTTCTGCTACTGCTAATGAGTTTTTTTCTGGAGGGTTGTGAAAGATCATTAAGAAATGTTTTCTGAAAGCCTAATATTATTTTTTCAGTGTTTAACCGGGGGTGCGTTCTCACTGCTCAATACTAATAATGGTAGAATGGTTGTTTTGCTGGCAGGGTGGTCAAGGATCAGCTTGCTGGTGTCAACCCACAGGTCCATCTGCTAGACGGGGTGTATTTGAACTCTTTGAGTGATGGAAAAAAAAAAAAAAAAAGAAATATTTGCTGGCTTATATCAAGGTGAGTTGTGGAGCTGAATGGTAAGTGAAAGATATGTCAGAAGCTAATGGTATAACCTGGCTGCATCTGGAAAGAATTCCTGCCTTAGTTAGGTATCTGGCCCAATGGAGGGAACAGAAGGAATTACCAGAGAGGTACTTCAATAGAAATCCCTGTCCTTGAAGACAAACAGGATGGTAGTAGGTGGTGGTGGACTGGGGAAAATGGAAACTATCCTTGAGAGACAGCTCTGTGGGCTATAGTTTGTGGGGTTGGTTAGGGAATGGGAAGCATGGGGAAGAGAACATTCACTTCTGAAATAGGAACTGTGGGGAGTGCTAGAAGAGCTATGGGGCAGAGGACACATAAGAGCTTGGGCAAGAAAAAGGAAAGGCTCCCTGAGATGTTATTTGTTAGTATGGTCAGAGAGGATTCGAGAAGATTGTGGATAAAAGACTTGACCAAAGGAAAAGGTAGTAGTCATCCAGAGAGACAGAAAAATGCATGATGAAACATACTTCAGTTGCTCTAGACAACATGCTTTCCTCATAATCCAGACCTGACAAAGATCTTAGATTTCCCTACTTGCTACTTTGGCAGATAGCATGAAAATCCTTAGTTCAGGGAACTGGAAATACTGAGATACAGGGTTTAAAGACTACTGAGCTAGCTGAAAAATTGAAAGTCAGTGGTTACTGTTTCCAGGACTTTCTTTTATCTAGGAAGGAGGAAGACTGAAAGGCATCACTGATGGGGAATAATTTATAGTTTTTTCAAGAGCACAAGAAAATATGACCCTGATGGGGGCTCTGTGTCTTTAAGAGGACCATGGCAGGAAAAAAGTGCATTTGAGTTTAAGAGGAAGCTTAAGTTCTGACATGCTGATCTATTAAGCTTCAAAAACAAGTATGCAGTTCACAGAGCTTTCCTAGAATGGAGGCAGAACTGTCCAAAGGCTCAGTGCCAAGAGGTTTCTGAATACCACATCTGAAACAAAATGAAGAAGTGTCCTTCTTTTTGAAGTGGAGCAGGTAAAATCACCACAGTGCTAAAACACTGAGATCGTAGATGAAAGGTACAAGTTTGAATTCTGCTTTGCTTTACGTAAAGCAATTGGCAAAAGATGATAAAAATTACATGGTTGCTGTATTTTTGACAATAGTTTGTTGTCAAATATTTAACACTTCTAAAACTTTGACTGAAGAAGTGGATAATTATGAGACTGTAATACAGACATGTGCATATTTTCATATTAAATATAACATGTATGAATAATTATAATTTTTACTTAAAAATACAAAAAGCAGGTGAAAGATCTCAAGAAGATCCAAGGTCAGAGAACTACTTTTACAATTTCTGGGAATGAATGATATTCCTGTTAAGATACCAGATAGTGATTATCTAATAATGGGGATAAATATATGAAAAATCATACTGGCAAGGGCAGGAGGCCAGAATGGTTACACATGAGGATGTCCTCAGGGCACAGAAAAGCTCTGAGCATAGGTTACAGCTGAAGGATCCCAAATGCTCCATCATTATTGCTCGAGACTATTTTTTCTCTTCCTGTAAAGCCAAATGGTCCTGGAAGGGTTTTAAACTCAGGTGAGCAGAAGCGCTGACAGAAAGGTTATATTCACATGTCATCCAAGTGAGGAGTAAGCCTCTATTTTGGGTTTTACATCTGCACATAAAAACAAGTTTCCATTAAAATGGAAACACTTCCCATCACTTAAAGATTTTTTTTTCTTGGTCACATTAAATATATTCTTCTCTGCTTGCTGTGTCAGCTCAGTTTCTGGCCTGAATTTCTCAGGGCACTTACATTTGGACTGTGAGAACGTCCCCCCTGCAATCCAGGAGACAGTCAGTGACCTGCTGCATCACATAGACATACACAAGTCTATGGGAACAGATGAGATACACCGGTGAGTGCTGAAGGAGCTGGCTGTGTTGCTCACCAGGCCACTTTCTATCATTTACCAGCAGTCCTGGCTGACCGGGGAGGTCCCAACAGATTGGAAATTGGTCAATGTGACGCCCATCTATAAGAAGGGTCGGAAGGATGATCCGGGAAATTACAGGCCTGTCAGCTTGACTCCGGTGCCTGGGAAGCTGATGGAGCAGCTCATCCTAAACACCATCATGCAACACATGAGAGACAACCAGATGCTCAGGCCCAGTCAGCATGGGTTTATGAAAGTCAGGTCCTTCTTGACAAACCTGATCTCCTTCTATGACAGAGCGACCTGCTTCTTGGATGAGGGAAAGGCTGTGGATGTAATTTACCTTGACTTTAGCAAGGCTTTTGACACTGTTTCTCACAGCATTCTTCTGGCAAAAATGACTGCTGGAGGTTTGGACAATCGCACACTTCGCTGGGTAAAAAACTGTCTGGATGACCGGGCCCAGAGAGTTGTGGTAGACTTAAATCCAGCTGGTGGCTGGTCACAAGTGGTGTCCCCCAGGGCTCGGTTTTGGGGCCACTCCTGTTTAACATCTTTGTTGATGATCTGGACGAGGGGATCGAGTGCACCCTCAGTAAGTTTGCAGATGACACCAAGTTGGGTGGGAGTGTTGATCTGCTCGAGGGTAGGGAGGCTCTGCAGAGAGACCTGGACAGGCTGGAGCCATGGGCTGAGGCCAACTGTAGGAGTTTCCATAAGGCCAAATGCAAGGGGCTGCAATTGGGCCACAACAACCCCCAGCAGTGCTACAGGCTTGGGGAGGAGTGGCTGGAGAGCTGCCAGTCAGAGAGGGACCTGGGGGTGCTGATTGACAGCCACCTGAACAGGAGCCAGCAGTGTGCCCAGGTGGCCAAGAAGGCCAATGGCATCCTGGCTTGTACCAGGATTAGTGTGGCCAGCAGGGACAGGGAGGTGATCTTGCCCCTGTACTTGGCGCTGGTGAGGCCACACCTTGATTACTGTGTTCAGTTTTGGGCCCCTCACTGCAAAAAGGACATAGAGTTACTCGAACATGTCCAGAGAAGGGCTACAAAGCTGGTCAAGGGTCTGGAGCACAGGTCATACGAGGAGCAGCTGAGGGAACTGGGGGTGTTTAGTCTGGAGAAGAGGAGGCTGAGGGGAGACCATATCACCCTCTACAGCTACCTGAAAGGAAGCTGCAGTGAGCTGGGTTTGAGCCTCTTTATCCTAGTAGAAAGTGACAGGACAAGAGGGAATGGCCTCAAGTTGAGCCAGGGAAAGTTCAGACTAGATATTAGGAAGCATTTCTTTACAGAACATGTGGCTGGGTGTTGGAATGGGCTGCCCAGGGAGGTGGTGGAGTCCCCATCCCTGGAAGTCTTCAAGAGTAGGGTCGATTTGGAGCTTAAAGATATGCTGTAGGGGCGAACTGTGCTAGGCAAACGGTTGGACTAGATGATCTCCAGGGTCCTTTCCAACCTAGATGATTCTGTGATTTCCCTACATTTAATTCTTGCCTTAGGGTATGGTTTTGGCAAACAGACAGTTGACATGTGTTGACCACCCAGGGCATTTCCATGGGAAACAGACTCACCAATAAAATTTCTTCCACAGTGATAACAGTTAGGTCTGAGGAAAAACAGAAGAAAAGTTTGGCCAGAGGTCTTTGGCCACTTTGGAGAGTCTGCGCTCCATGCTACAGCTGCTCAAAAGAGCCTGAATTAACTAGAGAAGAGGGAGGCTTTCTGCAAGCCTTTAGACTTGGAGGAAAGCTAAAGCAGTGAGATATACAGGTAGTTTGAAATAATGACCTGCAAACCTGCAAGGACAGAAAAGGTAGAAAGACCCTTGGGTGAGGCATGCCATGAGGAGACTCATCTTCAGCCTAGCCACGTGAATCACCAGTTTGAGAATGCTGCTGTGCATATATTCACAATAGACTGCAAATGTAAGAGGAGGCTAGGGGGGACAGGACATGCTGAATTGTTTGGGGGCCCTATCCCATACCTGCCTGGGGGAGCAAATCTGAGTCTGCCTTCAGGAAGTCTTTCTGTGAGCAGCAGATAAAAGGAAGTCTGGTTACCCATGAAACCTTGTGGATAGGTTTCTAAAGGCATGAAGGTCAGTTGACTTTTCCTCTTTAGACGTGACACCCTTCGTGTTTTTTTCCTGTCTGGATAATAACAGCACTTTTCTCTTCTTCAGGACTATCGACAGCAGTTTAAAATGAGCTTAAAATAGTTCTGATGAGTGATCCTTCATTAATTTAGCTGAAATCAACCAGAGAGTTCAAAATTTATGGGTGCTAGATGCGTGGAGAGAATAAAGTCAACATGCAGAGTGTGATTGCCAAATATGTTTGTTTTTTCACTTCAGAAAGCAGCCTAATATCTGTTTGGTGGCAGATGAAAAGCAGACTGTGATTGTCTCCACTGCAGCTCAGGATGAAATCCCAGAGAAGGTAAGTACGGCTATGAGACTGAGAAGCCTAGGACAAGACATACCCTGTTTCTTTCACCAGTGCAGGAGGCAGCTTGCAGAAGCAGGATACACATAGCAGGGTGATGATTCATAAGGTTATACAGAAAAAAAAAGATTACTACAAAGAGTTACACACATTTTTTACCCGTAAAAAATTCAAGAAAGGGCCTAAAGATATCTTTATACAGGGCTCAAAATCAGTGACACTGAAGAAACAAAGACTTGTCATGTGAATAAGAAATATTTGGCAATTTAAGGACAGCCCACACTGAGTACCTCCAAAAAAGGAAAAAGTTCCCTGAAGTAAAGTCATCATAGTTTTGTGTGGGCTGGAAAAACTATATACCCCATTTTTACTGTATTATTCTCATTTATCTGTAAGAACTTAAAGACAGGAAAAAAATGCCTCTGTAATCAGACACTGATGACAAAGTAGAGGGCTAGCAGAGGGAAAGGGAAAAATAAAACCTAGTTAAGCATATATTTTAGGGCTGTGGTAGTTAATGGGTAAAACTAATTGGATGTAAAATTTAGCCCATGGCAAAATGGCAATAAGAGTAAGAATTGCATGCCTGAAAGATCAGAACCTTCATGCTGATGTTAAACATACAAATTCTTTAGAGTTCCTCATCTGAGACAGTGTCCATTCATTCTGTATCTTTATATTAATTTCTTTGGAGGAAATAAGACCTTCCTTCCTGATACAAGCAATATGAGTTATCTCTGAAAACGTTTTAGAAGTTGTAGCTAGTTTTTAGTAAGAGTATTATTGAAATCATGTACATTTAAAGGCTGAAAATTCCAACAAGCTAAGCTGGTAAAGTCATCTTTCCAGAGAGGAGAAAATAAAAAATGTGTAATAAATCTGAACCATCTTTTCCAGGCAGAAGCTGTTCCCAAAAGTGCTACAACCACTGCCCTAAACAGGCACTCAGTTCTCTGTGATCACTTTTCCTAAGGCTTTGCACAGTAGGGTGGGGAGAGGCTGCTCATTTTGAGGACAGCCATATTACTTCTAAACTGCCTTGTGGGGCCTTTCTGTCAGTTAAAGCATTTTACAACTTCATGGCAGTGGGCTTCCTCATGGCCTGTGGATGGGTCTCGCTGCCCAGGCAGTGCAAGCATGCCACAGGTCTCAGTACTTTTACAGAGCTTATTGCTTTCCTTGGGGACTGAGTTGAGTGGATGCATTGTTTCTTTTCCTCAAAGAGCATGAGAGTGAACCCCTTGAGCACAGTGGGAGCCAAATGCCCATGTTTGTTAGCAGCGTACAACAGCATGAAGCCCAGCTGTACATACGTACAACTACAGACTGTTGGCTTTTGAAATGGAGAATATAGCAAAGGCAATGGGAAGGCAACAGGCTAGCTAAAGGGACATCACCACATTACTTCAGACTTCAAGAGACTTATCAAAACCAAGCGCGTCTTGCAATTGTGTAAGCAAAGTGTGTTCACATTACGCAGGTATAGAAGTATGTCAGTAACTGCTGGGAAAGTGTCTGGATGATGAATCCACCCACCTGTATCTGAGTTTTGCCCAAGAGACCACAGGCTGACAGATGAACTTTTTATCATGCAATGTTGGTAAGGCTGGCAGTGGTTTACAATTGCAGCAGAGTGAGAGCTCCCATTCAGAATGCTGTAATAAAAATGACTTCTGTTGTGTGGTTAATGCCTTCATGGATCAGTCATTTTATTTCCATACCCTTTGCAGCCTTTCATTTTGTCCAAAATCTTGCATCTCCAAACCTGCCCAGCAGTCAGGCCCTATTAGTTTTTGGTTGTTTTTTTTGTTTTGTTTTTTTTGGGTTTGTTTGTTTGTTTGTTTTGTTTTTGTTGTTTTGTTTTGTGTTTTTGTTTGTTTTGTTGTTGTTTTGTTTTCTGTTTTGTTTTGTTTTCTCTTGTAAAGTAATTTTATGGATAAAGTCTGTTCAGGCTGAGTTGGGGGATCAATGCTTATCCGTCACTTCATAGATTGCTTTAGCTAATGTCAGTTGCTGCCTTTCAAATCAAGTGCAATGTTCTCAGTCATGTCTGTAAGTAAGTTTTGCACTGTACGTCCCTTCCATGCCCAGGGTAAACCCATGAATCCTGATCTTCAATATCCTCCTGCTGCCTAGAAAATTATCATACCTGTGAGCCAAATCCCTATTTCGCAGCTGTTCCCTGGAGAAAGCAACTGTTTTGTCAACAGTTCAATGACGGAAGTCTCTTCTTAGGACCAAAGATCTTGATTAAACATTTCAAAAGACCTGTTCTGTAGACAGTGAAATCTGTGTAGTACATAACTCGTGACAAATTCTCCTATGAGAAGGGGCAAAGCAAATCAGAATGAGTTTATTTAATACATATAATGAGAAAAAGTAGACTTTGTAAAGAAGCACTGCAGCTGGCAAGTATCTAGTTAATGCCATTAAATAGAGGCACCCTACATTTTCAGCACTGCTGTCCTGTGCTGACAGGTTCAAAGGTCCAGTGATTTCTTAATCATAGGCACAGTGGGCAGCCATTAGTAAGGAAAGGCAGACTGCACTGCAAAGCCTGTCTGCTTGAAACTAGAATGAGGCCAGAAAATCTATTTATTCTGTGTTTGTTATGGTACTGAAACACAGAGCTCTACCCCTGGGTCCCTGTTGCTGCCTGAAATCAGTGTGTCACCAGGGGAAGTCCTGTCTCTCATGACAACTGTCATCTTGATCAGTGCACTGCATATGGAACCAGGTGATCACTGCACCTAAAAGCATGTTGTCACAGCTGGAGTTGGTGTATCAGCACTGTGCGGGTCCATGTCTGGAGAGGACATGCATCCCCTTCTGAGCCAGGGGTTGTGGAATCTCCAAGGAAAGCTTTTATTTTTCTGTCAAGGTAGCTGGGAAAACACCTGTGAAAAGGTCAATAGGCTATTTGCAAAAACTCAGAAAAGATGCTTTTATGGTCTCAGCCTTGCAAATGTTGAAGACACACAGCCTGAAGCACTGAATTATCAGAGGTTTCACATGTACTTTTGAAGGTGCTGGCTCTGTGGGAGGCATGCATTCATTTAGCTGGTCACTGCACAGCCTGTGGCATGTTTGACCTCTTGGTTTGAAGTGTCCTGCAGCTACCTGGATAGAGGGGCTGCACTGAAAAAAGTCCGCCCTTTCTCAAGTAGGAAAAAAGGAAGAGATGTGGGAGAAAGTATGATTAAAAATAGGGTTTGCCCCCTCAGTATGAAATACAAGTAAAAATAAAATTCAAAAGTTCCAGTCTTTTTGTATCTCTTGCTAAAAGTCAGGTACGAATTCATGTGTTTCTCTTGCTGCTAAAAAAATGTAAGACAAAGACGACTTCCACATTTATTTTTAGCTCACTTCATTGAATTCCATGGTTCATAATAGGGTTAAATTTGTCCCTGAGAACTGATTTATCCTGAAAAGTCTGTTGTAATTAATAATGCATTTGTATTCATGTTATTTGTTTTAAAACATAAATGGGATTAGCAAGTTTTCATTGTGAAGCTCTTTCCAATGAAAAGTGATTTTTGGACCTCAACAAGGATTCTCCTTTCTGAATTAAAAAAAAAAAAAAAAAAAAAAAAAAAAGAAAAAGAAAAAGTCATGATGTTACTGATTGTTACTGATTTGTTATTAATTTGAGTTGATGATTTTTGGAGATTTTGATAAGGAATGATTAGGACTAATCAATTAAATGGAATTTCACGGGAATATCAGTTTTTATAAAAGATAGCGGAGTAATGTTTTAAGTAGTCATAGAGATGTTTTATTTAGTTTGGTAAGGATGATTTATTGCCCTGTAGACCAGGTGCTTTAAAAGCTGTATTGTGAAAGGGCCTCGAAGCACGTTAAAACTGCAATGTGAGCCAAAGTCCTTGAGTCAGGGGCATTGGAGGGTCTTTCTTTCTAGTCAGTAGTCTGTGGTGGTCGCAGAAGTAGCCCTCCAACTCATTTCAGGGCTCAAGTGCACATGACCAGGAAGGGGTGGGAATATGAAAATGAGTTACAGGAATTATCATGTCTATGTATAAGAACTTGATTAATATGTATTACTGTATCCTATAATGTCAGCATGCTACACAGGTTAAATGCGTTGTTGGTGAGACGACTCCCCTGCACACCCGGCTGTTAATAAAGGAGTGTCTGCTTATCTACATCACGTTGGTGTCGATAGGTTCTTCTATCCCATTTTGGTGACAATGAGATTGCAATTGTTCTTGGTTTTCAAAATAAAAAATGAGAGATAACTTTCTGACAATAAAATATTTATAACATTATTATTAATACATTAATATTATAAATAAATTTTATTTTGAAAATTGTATGAATAAGTATTTTTCTGTAAGAGATCTTCAGTAATGGTATTTATTTATTTTCTATTTCTAAAGCATGCCTGTGTGGAAACTTTAAAAGTCCCATTAAATGGGTAATATTCTTTCTAGGCTTTGAGCAGTATACAATTACTGGCCTTTTTCATGAATTCCCCATACATTCTACTCAGTTAAGGATTATTAAAGACACAGGTATTAGAAACCTATTTAGGTTGACTAAATCCTTTGCAAATTTAAAAGGGAAAATATTATAGCAGGTTCGTTTTTACATCTACCAAATTTTTGTCTAACTGGTTAATTATTTTCTTGAGAGGATCCCGAAGCCTTCTAATGAAAGCAGGGAGCTTTGGCAATGATTGCAATCTCCAAATCAGAAAGGCAAGCATACTTTGTTATCCAGAGCAGGGGAAAATGCAAAGCAGCTGAGGAATTTTTAAATTTTTTGTTAGAAAGACTTTGCTGAGAGGACAAATACACGTGCATAATTAGGAGGAACAGCTCAAGAAGAGGAAGTTCAGGAAAACTCATGCAAAATGATCGAGCACAATCCCATTGTATCAAAAATATGCCTAAAGAACAGGCAAAAGGTGTCTATGGAACAGGTGAAAGGGTAAAGGGAGGGAGTATAGGACAGGTTGTGAGAAAGTGCACAGCCAAATGGCACCATTGCAGTGATCAGATAACTCGGAGGGTTTGCTTCTTCCTCCTTTTAAAGCAGCAGGACTGTGATGCATCCTACTGTAGATACAAGAGTGTGTTCAAAGGCATGGGTCTCCATCATCCAAATGTCTCTTTTCCTGACAACAATAACCTGCGAGACCCTGATGTTTTGGACTGGCTGCTGAGGCAGGGAAGTGATATTATTTTGTAAGGGGAGAACTAAACACTGCGGGAAGGTTACAACTTTTCAGGAGGAGGTGGAAAAGGGTAGACCTTTTTCAGAAAAAGAAATCTGTGCTGCCAGATGTAAAAAGGATGAATGACATTTCTGATCAGTAAGAGACATCTGACTTTGTGAGATGCTCTCTATGACTCCTCAGTCAGCAAAGAAATGTATCTAAAATGTGATAGCATGGCATCTCAGGGAGCCCAGGCTTGAGAAGTGGCCACTCAAATATTTTTAAAGGTGTTAAATTCACTTGGCCCAATTATGGTTTTAGATGATCTTCTACCTCGATTTTTTTTTTTTTTTTTAAATGACTATTTTCTTCTATCTGAAATGGGGCCTTGGTAGCTATTTTTAAGTTACTATGGCTACCTTGACTTGTCCAGCAGCAAGGGGGATGGTCAAGCTGACTGTAAAGGAAGGGTCTTTGGCAAGGCACAAAAGTGCATGGGTATGAAAGCCAAAAGACAGAAGAAAGAGCAGGAGGATACATGACCAGTTACAATAAGAGACTGGGGAGGAAGTGTGGGGGCATCTTTTCAGTTATTTACCTATCTGTCACAGTGGACCTTCCAGTTATCTCTACAGGAAACACGACATCTAAAATCTGTGAAGGAAAAGTAATTATCCCATCTCAGTGGTTCCAACTTTTTATAGAAGTAAGTTAGTTTGAAGCATTTTCTGTTCAAAATTAAATTAGAAGCAGGCTTTTCAAAACAGCTGAACCTCTCAGTATGATGCTGCCACATACATGTCTGAGTTTTTGGCATGCAGCTGGCACTATTCCCAGCCTTTCTGAAACCAATGGCCTACTTCTGGGTACTCTTTTCCTTCAAAATCCTACAATGAATTTCTGTAGTGTTTTGAATTCTTTTTTTTTTTTTTTTTTTTTTCCCTTCCTTTAAGGCTGGTCTCTGAGTTAACAATTCAGATGGGTGTTCAAGAATTGAAAATTTTTGTGTGCTGAGGGGTATGACAGATTGAGCCAGCATGAGATATTGTTTTTGAAATTGGGGGATGACTTAATATAATACGAAAAGCTTTGATAGGGATAAGATCCTTCTTACATATCTACTTTCATCAGAATGTGATATATGACTTGCAGGAGACACATTGTATAAGGAAGTGGGGTGGAAAGTAAGGGAATACATTACTATCTTCTCTGTGTGTGTTTTTCAGCTTTATGTATCATGTAGTTCTGTGTCTATTTAACCATCAATCTGCACACTCAGGTCTGGATTGACACAAATATGTTTCCTGCAACTCTTTTTCTTCTGTCTCCACTTCTGGGATGATGGAAGGATTTCAGGTGTGTGAAGGCCACCTTAAGAAAACAAACAAAAAAAAAGTGCCGGGGTAT